ACAGGGCTATGATCTGAAAGTGTAGTTACTTCTATTTTACATTCTTTAACCTGGTTAATGTCCTTTTTGTTATTAAAATGTAATCTAACCTTGAGTAACTCCCATGTACTTGTGACCTAAATGTGAAGTCTTTCTCTTTTGGATGGAGGAAACACCAGACATCAAGTAGCCCGAGTTCCTTCATCATGTTTGCTAGGCTTCTAGACATTTTACTTGGTGATTTGGGTGTTATAGGTAGCTTATCCATATTATTATTGAGAACACAGTTTAAATCACCGCCTATTAGTATCATACCCTCCCCCTTATCTGCCACTATATTTGCAATTTTTTTAAAGAAAAGTGGCCAATCTTCATTTGGAGCATAAACACACAAAATACTCAATTTAATCTCCGCAATAGTTCCCACCACCATGATATATCTTCCTTCTGTATCCTGACAAACTTTTTCACAATTAAAATAGACTGATTTGCTAAACAGGATTGCCACCCCTCTTTTCTTCTTTTCCTTATACGAGCTGGAATAAACTTGGTCGACTCATTCCCTTCTTAACTTCAGATGTTCCTTTTCTGTCAAATGTGTTACTTGAAGTAGCGCAATAGCACACTGCATCTTTTTTAACTGTGTTAAAATCTTTTTCCTCTTAATTGGATTATTCATACCTTTAATGTTGTATGTTATGAGATTCAATGATGCCATTATTTTCCGTTACAAAGTTCTTGACCTGTACCTAATTTAACATAACTTGTGCAAATAATCGAACCAAAATTATCTTTCTGTAAAATATATTTAAATTAACCACTTGACTCAGGGGGAACATATAAACATTTTGAACATATAACATAACTTCCACTTGTGCAGTCAGCCATAGTAATTGAACGATAACCATGCCTGACCCCCGATAACACTGGAACAGAGAGTGGTGACTTAGACTCTCTGCGCCACAAAGCACATAGTGTGCGCTTAAGACCAGAAGTACACTAATGTGTAAAAAAGGTCTCTGTGAGTGTGACCCACTCATGTAAACCAAACCAAAAAGACTCCTATTAGTTTTTCTTCTTATATTATTTGTGACAACTTATAATGATTTCAGTCTACTTTTATACCTTCAGTCTTTTCTCAATTGAAAGTTACCTTTGCATTACTCTTTTAGGTTACTTTTACCTATTTAAGCTTTTGTCTTCAGCTGTTTTTTTCCTCCATCATGGCCTTCAGGTCTGCCACTGAAAATGTCCCTTCTCTCTTTCTATTTGAACTGTAGCTCCATTCTTCTGTCAGTCTTTCTACAAGACGCTCCCTTTCTCCGTAGGGCACATGAACCAACCAACTTCTCCAGGGTGTCCGCCGCATCAGTAAGGGACACGAAAGTTTTTTCTCCCGAGTCCATCTTAATGTTCAGGCGTGCTGGATACAGACATTTGGCCTGCATGCCTTTCTGTTTCAGCTGCTTGACAGTTGCATGCACTTTTGACCTCTTCTTTTGTAATTCAGGAGAGTAGTCTTGATCAAAAAAGATCCTTTTGTCTTGAAACATGACCTGTCCTTGTCTCCACGCTTGCTGCAAGACGATGTCTTTCACCGCTGCATCCAAGAACCTCACGATTATCGAGCGGGGGGGAGCCTCCAGGTTTAATGGCCCTGACACGAGCGAGCGGTGCTCTCTCTCGATCTTGATGTCCAAGTCCAGTGGCAACTGCAGTACTTTGGGCAATAAGCCTTTAACAAATGCGGCCACATTACCATTTTTGCTCCCTTCTGGAATTGAAAAAATGCGTAAGTTGTTCCTCCTCAGCCGATTTTGTAAGTCATCACATGTGGCTGTCAGCTGTACGTCCCGCTGGAGGAGGTAGTGTAGCACCCGGTGTCGCCTCGCTCCCCCGTCTTCAGTCGCCCCCACTCTGTCCTCTAACTCCTCAATCCTCCTCTTGTGGTCCCCGAGTTGTGTCTTTATGCTCGTTATAGATGTCTCCAAGCGGTCGAGCACTTCTTTGGTTTGTTTATGACCCTGGATGTTTTCATAACGAAGTTTTTTCATCTCTTCCAATATCATTTTTTTGCCCGCTAGCTGGTCATCCTCATTACTAACATTAGCATCTAGGGCTTCTGAGCTAATGCTGCTAGCTGGGCTAGGCGATCTCCTTTTCTTGTCCTCATTTTCCTTCGAAAACACTTGTTTGCTTCCCAGTCTCGTCCTAGAGGGTGCGCTCATTGTATACTTCTGTGCGGTACCAATCTGAAGGTATTTTATCTTAAAGTTGCCATTCTTTTTCTAACTTTTTAACGGAGCCTCGTGTCTAGGCTGTTGCTTCCATCATGACGTCACCGGAAGTCTCAAATGTTTATTATTTCAAATGCAGTAGTGGCTCCAGTGTGTCCAGTTTTCATGTCAAATATGTTCCAAAAAAATGACCAAAAGTTTTTCTTCCCATTTTAGCTCTAGTGTGGCCAGGTTTCAGACATACATAATCATGAGATCTTGTATTAAAAGTTCCAGTGTCAAGGGTCAACAAACAAGTGAGATCTTCAGGTAGTCTATCACATTATCCTCTTCAAGTACATTTTCTACAGAGTTCTCTTGTGACAGAGAGTGAAGGGCTGGGTTGGGGTTTTTAAACAGATGTGAAAGAAACAACACAGCTCCAGGTACATGTGTTTGTGATGACACAGATCAGGAACTAGTGTAATACGAGTTCGTTAAATGTTTTAATACTCCTAAGGTTAAAATGATTCCTCGCTTACATGTACATTGTGTCACCATGGTAAATGCTGAACATTCCACCATACACATACATGTAGATCACCCCCAACGTGATGTCACTGCAAAGTATCAATAGGCCAGTCATGTTTAATACAGATGGGAGCAGGTGGATCTTGTGCAAATGCAGATTTGTGTTGTAAGACGGTAACACTCATAGAAATAAACACGTTCAACATTTGTGAATGAAACTTTTGGAGATTTTATGGCAAAGTACAATGTGATCAGTAGAACTGTGTGTGTGTGTGTGTGTGTGTGTCTGTGTGTGTATGTGTTTGTGCCAGTGTGTGTGCCTGTGTGTGTGCCGGTGTGTGTGCAAGTTTGAATATCAAAGTACAAAGTCTGAATAAAACTCTCCCAGTGGAACAAGACACTAGAGATAAAGTCTCACACTGAAACCTTTGTCATAAAAAGACACTTGGGCCGTAGTTGGAAAAAAACACGTTTAATCATTTAAAGGAACAATGTTCACAGTCACAGTGTCCAGAGGAACATCAGGAGCTTTGTCCAGAAGGACGAGCAACACTTCATCTGTTTGGGACGAACTGAAACGATGCAGCGTCTCTTGGATGGTGCGTGTCTTCTTCCTGATCATCTCCTCAAACAGCTGCAGCTGTAAAAAAGATTTGACTTCCCACAGTGTAAGAAATACAGAAGCAGTTACTTTAGTCTGTGCACACTAGTTTCCACCATTGGGCCTAACTTCTTGGTAGTTCTTGACCACCTGTGCGATCCTGACCACCCTGATGTCAGCAGGAATACTCCCTTCGTAGTCTGACCACAGGTATTCTGGAGACAGCACTTTGGTGGGTTTGTTGTACAGGAAATATCTGTAAAATAACACAGTAAACGTAAAGACATTCACTCTAGTCATTTAGATTTTTGTTTAAAGTTCTTATATCACACTAAACTGTGTCACTTTTCGGTTTTGGGTTCGTCACCTTCTTGTTTGTGTGGATGTCATTGCTCTGCTTAGAATGTTCCACAGTGTGACATTAAACAGATCGACCTTCATTTCTTAAATTCAGTGGTGGTTTTATTGCTCAAAAATACCTAGAAAAACAGGCATTCCTCTCCACAGATCTGAGCTGTAACTTGGTCTGGTTATAATATAAATATAATAAGACAGATGACAGAACAGACAGTACAGAAGTGGACCAAGTGAGTGTGACGTCACCCACAGCGTCAGCTCCAGTCAAACAAGCTCATGATGCTACAGCTACAGGGGGAGTGAGGAATTTATTAATGGACAAAACAACCAAATAAAAAGCCCAGGATCATGTGTCGTGGGTCATTACCAACATTTTAAGACCAAAATGACGAGGCAGGTACAGAGAGAGGAGCAACACATTTTCAGTGTATAGTGTGTGTGTGTACGTGCGTGTGTGTACGTGTGTGCGTGTGTGTGCGTGTGTGTGTGTGCGTGTGTGTGCGCGTGTGTGCGCGTGTGTGCGCGTGTGTGTGCGTGTGTGTGCGTGTGTGTGTGTGTACGTGTGTGTGTGTGTGTGTACGTGAGTGTGTGTTTCTGTGCTTTAACTCTTCATTGTTTTCTACTGTGGGCTTGATTTTCTTGTTTTAGATCAGAGACAAACTCAATATTGAGCTGAGTTGTAGATTTTGCTTACACACAAAGCAATACCATCTCCATGGAGACCAGCAGAAAAGTCTCACAGTGTAACTTTAAAAGGGACTTACTTGTTGAGATGACTTTCTTCCTGCCACGCTGCTTCCACTCCGATTTTAGCATCCTCTTGTGATTTCTCATCACAGTGTCTATGAGTAACACAAATAACATCCAACAGATTTTAATCAAAACTCATGCGACAGGTTTTCATGTGTTTCTCATTCTGACTGGGTTTGGTGGATTGACCTGTGGTTAATGTTGATCAGAGTTTTACATCAGTTAAGTGACACTTTGGGGGGAAAAAAGTTGAGCCTCGGGGAAAGAAGGCGCCTGATTGGTCTGTTATTAATGATTTACAGACAAAATAGTGAAATAAAAGCTTTAGGATCATGTAGAGTGAGTTAATACAAACATTTTAAGACTAAAATGACAGAAGCAGTCAGAGAGAGAGAGGTGACACTTTTCAATACAAAGTGAATTGGAAGCCAGAGTGGATGGAGCTGGAAGCACATGTGCTCACCTCCTGTTTGGAACACTCTCGCTCACGGTTTAACTATGTCCATGTGTACAGTGTTTGATCTAACATCATGCATTAAAAAAACAAGGTCAAAGGTCGTACTTGACCAGCCTGTACATGTCGTCCAGGAGCCCTCCCCACACGGCTGCAGTGTAGTAATAGTCTCCCTCTGTCGGCGGGATGTACGCCTGTGACTCAGGACGCCGCTCATAAGGGAAGTCCTCACGCTTTGTTGTCTGGAAACGACAAGTGCAGTCATGTATTGTAATGTATTCACTCAACCTGAGAGGATATTTACAACACAAAGAAAGGCCACAGCCAGGTGCAAAAGTCAACAGAGGTGAAAGATGACGTCTAAATACAAGAGTTTGGACTTTTTTGTCTCTGGAAATCAGGAAGGATTTGCTGAAGGCTGAAGGACAGTGTGAAACCTGCACTCAGTTTTAAAAAAGTGACTCTGATCACCAGAGTCTTCACCTGCAGACAGAGACACATCTGCATTTGTCTCATTCTCAGTTTATGTTCAGGTTTCATGTGAAGCTCAGAACCTCCAGAATTCCCCCCCTGAGCTGCAGAGGCTGCACTAGCACTGACTCATGATGCTGCAGGTGCTGAGGTTTAGGGAGTCACCGTTCAGATCAGAGAGAGACAGAACAAAACCCCAGATGATTAATTATAACATGAACAACTCGTCCATCATGTCCAGTGTTTTTGTCATTAAGAATAAATCTGCATTTCAATAGTTCTCAGTATTGTTATATTTAAACATGTTTCGCTGCTGTTTGGGGACACATGAGTCATGTTTGTGACAGTTCAGACACAAAAGAGTAAGTTGAAATAATCTGCTTGACTTTTGCACAGTCTGTACTAAACACAGTTGTGACCTGAAACAGACCCTGTAGTATCCTCGGTGGAGCGTGCCAACCAGCCGACTCAAGGCCTCTGCTCCAACACGGCCACGAAAAACACTGTCCACGTCCATCATGAACAGATAGTCAGCCTCTCTGTGGAGCTGAAACAACACACTGTAAATCTACATACACACATGTATCTGTGTGTGTGTGTGAGACGCTCACCCATGTCTCTAAAGCAAGTTTGGCCCACTTCATCTTGCTCAGTACCACGTCCTGCCATCGATTTGCACTGGGCACATCGTGGATCGAGATGTTTCTTCCTTGGAGTTAGAGGAATCTGCAGCACAGCCGAGACAACAATATAATGTGTATAATACATGTATCTTATCAATAGATCGGTATCGGATCAATATTGAACATTAACCCGATGTTTGTTCTACACTGTCCCAGTCTGTTCGTACCCATGTATCATTCCAGTCTGTCCTCAGATCGATTTCTGCTCAGACAAAGTTCTGACACTGTGTCCTTAGGCAAGACACTTTTCTCACCTTGCCTAGTATGGAAGTGCTGTGTGAGTGTTGGTGGAGAGGAGGCTCGGCTCCCTGTGGCCACCAGTGAGTGTGGAGTGATCATGTGGCAGTGAGGGGCTTGTACCACATACATCCTTATGAACTGTGTATTTGATGGTATTATCTTCACATAAGCAAAAAGTCAACTTTGTGATCTTTACTCTAACTTACATAACTACTACACATTCTTGGTGATTGCTTTGGTTTTTAAAATAGCAATATCGATATCGGCAAATATCGTTTATTGACCACAACAGTAAGTGAAATATTGGACTTCAGTATTTCCAGAGTGATTATGTGCAGTACAGAGGGATTTGGTGTCACATTCATTACATGGTCCAATCAGAAGACTGAATACTTAGAATACTTTCTCATTCTTTTATAGAGGAGAAATACAACAACCTGTGTCCACTCACCACAAGACCTGTGTCCACTCACCACAAGACCTGTGTCCACTCACCACAAGACCTGTGTCCAACACCACAAGACCTGTGTCCAACACCACAAGACCTGTGTCCACTCACCACAAGACCTGTGTCCAACACCACAAGACCTGTGTCCACACCACAGACCTGTGTCCACACCACAAGACCTGTGTCCAACACCACAAGACCTGTGTCCAACACCACAAGACCTGTGTCCAACACCACAAGACCTGTGTCCAACACCACAAGACCTGTGTCCACTCACCACAAGACCTGTGTCCACTCACCACAAGACCTGTGTCCACTCACCACAAGACCTGTGTCCAACACCACAAGACCTGTGTCCAACACCACAAGACCTGTGTCCAACACCACAAGACCTGTGTCCACTCACCACAAGACCTGTGTCCAACACCACAAGACCTGTGTCCACTCACCACAAGACCTGTGTCCAACACACAAGACCTGTGTCCAACACCACAAGACCTGTGTCCACTCACCACAAGACCTGTGTCCACTCACCACAAGACCTGTGTCCAACACACACAAGACCTGTGTCCAACACACAAGACCTGTGTCCACACCACAAGACCTGTGTCCAACACCACAAGACCTGTGTCCAACACCACAAGACCTGTCCACACACAAGACCTGTGTCCAACACCACAAGACCTGTGTCCAACACACAAGACCTGTGTCCACCTGTGTCCACTCACCACAAGACCTGTGTCAACAACAGACCTGTGTCCAACACAAGACCTGTGTCCAACACCACAAGACCTGTGTCCAACACCACAAGACCTGTGTCCAACACCACAAGACCTGTGTCCACTCACCACAAGACCCACAAGACCTGTGTCCAACACCACAAGACCTGTGTCCACTCACCACAAGACCTGTGTCCAACACCACAAGACCTGTGTCCACTCACCACAAGACCTGTGGTCCAACACCACAAGACTGTGTCACAGACCTGTGTCCAACACCACAAGACCTGTGTCCACTCACCACAAGACCTGTGTCCAACACTGTGTCCACCACAAGACCTGTGTCCAACACCACAAGACCTGTGTCCACTCACCACAAGACCTGTGTCCACTCACACAAGACCTGTGTCCAACACCACAAGACCTGACCTGTGTCCAACCACCACAAGACCTGTGTCCAACACCACAAGACCTGTGTCCACCACACAAGACCTGTGTCAACACCACAAGACCTGTGTCCACACCACAAGACCTGTGTCCACCACACAAGACCTGTGTCCACTCACCCACAAGACCTGTGTCCAACACCACAAGACCTGTGTCCAACACCACAAGACCTGTGTCCAACACCACAAGACCTGTGTCCACTCACCACAAGACCTGTGTCCAACACCACAAGACCTGTGTCCACTCACCACAAGACCTGTGTCCACTCACCACAAGACCTGTGTCCAACACCACAAGACCTGTGTCCAACACCACAAGACCTGTGTCCACTCACCACAAGACCTGTGTCCACTCACCACAACCTGTCCAACACCACAAGACCTGTGTCCAACACCACTGTGTCCAACACCACAAGACCTGTGTCCACTCACCACAAGACCTGTGTCCAACACAAGACCTGTGTCCACACCAGACTGTGTCCAACACAAAGACCTGTGTCCACTCACCACAAGACCTGTGTCCAACTCACCACAAGACCTGTGTCCAACACCACAAGACCTGTGTCCACTCACCACAAGACCTGTGTCCACACACAAGACCTGTGTCCAACCACAAAGACCTGTGTCCATACCACAAGATGTGTCCAACAAAATTTCATGATAAAGAGCCACCATGTATTCTTTTGATTTTAGGGAAGTACAGTAAAGGAAAGGAAAGTAGTTTCTGAATTCTGAATACCACAAACAATACATTTAATCAAATCAACTGTATTGTTCATTTATTTTTTATAATTTTTAATAGAGCTACATCTCAGGAATATAGTTTGCTTTTCAGAGCATTTTGCAGAACACTTATNCCACTCACCACAAGACCTGTGTCACCACAAGACCTGTGTCCACTCACCACAAGACCTGTCCAAGACCTGTGTCCACTCACCACAAGACCTGTGTCCAACACCACAAGACCTGTGTCCACTGTGTCACCACAAGACCACAAGACCTGTGTCCACTCCAACACCACAAGACCTGTGTCCAACACCACAAGACCTGTGTCCACTCACCACAAGACCTGTGTCCAACACCACAAGACCTGTGTCCAACACCACAAGACCTGTGTCCACTCACCACAAGACCTGTGTCCAACAAAATTTCATGATAAAGAGCCACCATGTATTCTTTTGATTTTAGGGAAGTACAGTAAAGGAAAGGAAAAGTCGTTTCTGAATTCTGAATACCACAAACAATACATTTAATCAAATCAACTGTATTGTTCATTTATTTTTTATAATTTTTAATAGAGCTACATCTCAGGAATATAGTTTGCTTTTCAGAGCATTTTGCAGAACACTTATGACAAGACGGGCTATGGCTTTTTGGAGACGGGCTGTGGCTGGTTGTAGAAGCCTGTGGCTTGTTGGAGATGGGCTATGGCTTGTTGGAGATACTGAGCACTGGATTCCTTCAAGGCTGTGTACTCAGTCCACTGGTGTTTACACTCCTAACACACGACATTGCATCCAGACACAAGGGCAACGACGACACCACAGTGATGGGACTTATTTGGGGGGATGAGGAATCACTGTACAGGGAAGAAGTTAAAGATCTGTAGGGCTGGTGCAGAGAGAACAACCTGGTGCTTAACGTGGACAAAAACGAAGGAGATGATCATCGACTTCCAGAGATCACAGTCAACACGATCCTCTCAGCATCAGTGGCTGGACAGTGGAGAGTGGAGAACATCAAGTTCCTTGCAGTGCAGATTTCGTAAGACCTGACCTGAAGCAAGAACATCTTTGCGATCAGGAAACAGGCCCAGCAGAGACTGTACTTCCTGAGGAAACCAAAACACGCCTCTCTCCCCACCAGAATCCTCTGGATCTTCTACAGAGGTGTGGTAGAGAGTGTTTTGATGCGTCGCAACATGGTACTCCAGCTGCAGGATGTCTGACAAAAAAGCCTTGCAGAGGACAGTTAGGGGAGCTGAGAGAGTAGTCGGAGTTTCCCTCCCCTCTGTCCAAGAACATTTCTAGAGCTGCTGCAGGAGCAGGTCACTGAACATTTTCAAGAACCAATCTCACCCTTTACACAAACACTTGCTGCTACTGCTGTCATCAGGCAAACAATTCAACAGAGGCGCAGCAAAAGCACCAGACTGATGAAGCTTCCTCCCACAAGCCATTAGGATGCTGAACACTTGACCCTGAACCTATATACTACTACAAAATATGTACATTATGTACATTATATGTATATTATTGTTTTTAGGTTAGTTTTAGTGTTTATTCCACTCAGTCACTTTAACTGGCCCTGGCACTAATGGAATCTGTCTTAGGTCGTTTTCACACCGCTAGTTCGATTATTTGGTCCGCACCAGGCAATAAAATTATTACTATGTAGCAAATACACTCCAGAGTGGTCCGCTTTCACACCGACAAACGAAACAAAATTGGTCCGACTGATGTGCCTCTGTTTCCCGGGAAAACAGCGATACCTCCAATTACCAATACCGATGTTCCCTGTTAATACCACGGGCCGTCCTCATCTCAAATTATCACCATGAGCTCATAAAACAGCAACATGTAGGGGACTTCCGGGGAACGCGGAGAGCGCATGGACGCATAGCTGAATACCTGCTACACAACCGATTTTAAATCATCCCCCTAATCACTCGAAATTACCACAAGAAGGTCTAGAAAAAGCGATGAGTGGGGGCCGATCCAAAAGAGGACAGAAACATACGAAGAAAGCGGACATGGAAGAAGATATGCCGAAAAAAAGACGCGGAGCAAGCCCAAGTAGAAGATGGCTACGAGCTAGCTGCTGGTGACGAGCTACGTGCGAATGACGAAGTGGCGAGCAACGCAGAAAACTCCCTAACGCTAAGTGAAATTCACAAAGATCTACGAAGTTTCAAGAGCGAATTCATAAAAGCACTTCAGGAGATTAAGGTAGAAATGGTCAGAGATCTTAAAGTCGAGATGGCGACTATTACCCAGAGCATAAACCAAAAGCTAACGGACCAAGCAGCTAAACTCGAGGGACACGACAAAGCCATTGCCGAGGCAGAAGGGCGTATTTCGGAGGTTGAAGAGAGCGGCGTAGTGACCAAAGACGCCCTGCTTGGCTTATTAAGGGAACAACGCAGATTGCGGGAAAAAGTTGTTGACTTAGAAAGCAGATCCAGAAGAAA